TTCTTTAAACAAACCATATTTAACTGCTTTAATATTAACATCCACATCATAGCCAATCTCTGTCATTTTCTGCCTGATCTCAGTTGTCCTATAACAATCTAATAGGAGATGTTCTAGGGTCTCATCTTCATCACAGCCTGTCATAGGACATTTCATGGTGGTAACAAAGCAACTCCATTGTACCACTGCTCTCACAGGGAGGCGCCCGAGCGAGATGAGCCATACCACGTCTCTCATGCTTTCAGATAATAATTTGTCGTGTATATTTTTAACTATTGAAAGGTTTTCATCTTCATTTGCATACTTATATTGAATTACACCTTCATTTTTGGTTTCATTAATTTTTTTATAGATATTTTTCGTATTGTCTTGGAGAATATTTAAACTATATTGTTCCCATTGACTTGATAAGTCAACAAACATAAGTCTGTGGTATGGAGTTGTAGTTGTAGTTGTAGTTTCCCAGCCCAGGTAAAGAGTTAAGGTTTTACATGTTTACTTCCGGGTTCGCCAGCTCTTACGACACATCCGTCTCAGCCTCCCACGGCCACGTCCGTGCGAGCTCCAGCAACATGCCTTTCATCGAGCTGCAGAGCAACCTGCCCGCCGGCCGGTTCTCGGAGGCCTTTCTGAAGAGGCTGTGCTCCAGCACCGCGGCGGCTCTGGGGAAACCCGAGGACGTGAGTACGGCACACACACGAACCCAGCCCGACCTCCAGGCTGACAGGCCCGCGAGCGAGCGCCGCACACCGAGGATAGGTGTCCGCTGATCAGCTCTCTCATCACCCTCTCAGCCCTGATCCACGTACGACAGGTGACCAATCACAAGCACCGATCGGGAAGAGTTGGATATGACGCGTGAACCGGTGAAAGTCACGCGCAGTGAAAGAGCGTCAAAAGTGTTTTTACACGCGTCAAAGAGCCGCTTTGTCAACAAAGTTGATTCAGTATCAGGACACAGCACAGGATGATAGCGCTGGATTATAGTCACGTGTCTGAAACGAGGGTGTCGTTTCTATTCTTGCAGCTGCGGCCTCTGGACCACGCGTGGGGACCTGCAGGTTTTAGATCTCACCTGAATCGCACGATGAGTTTGTTACCCGGTGTTGTGCCAAAAACGGATTTCCAATGTGTGTATTTTTTATGAGTAAAATCTTTACATGTGTTGGTAATAGACTTCGGTGAACAGGGTTTACAAAGGGTTATAAATTGAATTAAAAAATTATCAGTTTTTCAAGTATCTGTATAACTCTGTGTTACTGTAGTTTATAACAAATTCGGTCCTTTAGCCCCACTTAAAATATGTTTACAGAACTATTGTAATATTTGCTGCCATTTCTGCTGTCCTCTTGGCCAACTTACTCTTACAAAAGACTTTTAATGTTAATGAGAATTGCATAAATAAAGGTCATATAAAAGTCGCTGCCAAAAACTGATTGCGGCTTCTACCTTGTTACACAAATGTTGTTTGTGGCCCAAGATGACTTTGTTATCCATGAGGGATCCATTTGACATATGTTTCACATATTATAGCCCAACAAGTTATTTATAGCAGTTTAAATACGACCAATCAGTTTTTGGCAAATACCGGAAATCAGTTTTTGGCAGACAATCACTATTTGGCACAACACCGGCCTCTGGAGAACCTCAAGACATGCTGAGGAGGTCATTTAGCCATGCAGATCAAGGACACATCTAAAACCTGCAGGACACCGGCGCTCGAGGCCTGGCGTTCCCCACACCTGCTCTGATGTAAAGAATAAAGTAAATGCCCAATTCCAGCTGTAGCCAGCAGCTACAAACGCACTCCGTGTAGGACCACTCAGGCTTGGAGAGCTATAAAAGCTTTAAAGCCAACAAGCAGTGAAGCTGCTAATAAGAATCCATATTTAATACTGATTCTCATCAGAGAAACACAAAGACTTTGGACAAACCTGGATGTCGAGGTGATGTTCTGGAGATCTGCTGTCAGTGTTTTTGTCTGCATTTGTAAAATGACTGTGACTGACCGAGTGAAGAAGAGCACGCTGCTAAAAATTTGCTTGAACTCTTGTTTTTTACCAAACCTAATGACATGCTGGCAGAGACCGCTCACATCTGGAGCCCGGACAGAGGACGATGTCTCACCAGTTTACAGGAGAGCAGTTAAACTGGGATACTGTGTTAGGTCAGGGCTTGTCAGCATGCAGTTAAATGTGCCACAAGTAGCTTTCAAATACCTATGAAAATATACATTTCATCCAGCAGATCAGGTTACTGTGCTAGCAGCGAGGAACGTGGCTAATTTCACACAGCTTTGTCTCAACTCAAAAAGAAGGAAAAGCTAATGATAAAAATTTAAACCTTCTCAGATAAGAAAGACTTGCCAACAAACAACGCAGAAGTATGGAGAGCAGAATGTTCGTACAGGGCGTCGCTTCACCTTCGGTCAGGGTCATAGCCACTGTAGGAGGTCAGAGGTCAGAGTTACTGTGTCCACCTCCACAACTTTTAAACACTAATATTGTACCCCTCAGAGATGTACATGAAAGAATGTGACTCTGCTTAGAGAAACACGAACTGTACCTTTGCACAAAGTCTGATAACACCAAACTATTGAACACTGTGTTATTCAGTGGATTAACTGCACTGATGCTCGTGACCGTGTTTAAGGCTACGTCATGTTTTGCGTGTGCAGCGAGGACACAGAGGAGTAACTGGTGCACCTGCTGCCCTCTGTGGAAGTAAGCACACTTAGTTTGTTTGATGAAGCCTCGCCCGTGCAGCCTTCTTTCTCAGTTGGGCTTCAATGCGACTGTCTGTGTCTTTGGTCCAGCGGATGAACGTGGTGGTGACGCCGGGGCTGCCGATGCTGATGGCAGGTTCCACCTCTCCGTGTGTGATCCTGTCAGTGTCTGCTATCGGTGTGACTGACACCGCCGAGAAGAACAAGGAGCACAGCGCCAAGATCTTTGAGTTTCTGACCAAGGAGCTCGATCTGAGCCAAGACAGGTGAGCCTGCTGTGCCCACTCGCTGTAGTTACCTGTTTACTGAGGCTGTCTCCTTAACAGCTTGACAGTGATCACTGTAAAGGCTGTGAATGTTAATGATTCACTAACTGAATAAACTAACGGACATGAGCCGCTGAGCCTTTTCTGAATGTAGACAGCTGTTGTATAAATATACTTTGGAAAGAAGAGCGTGTACGTTTACTACTCTGCAGAATGCTATAAAGTCAAACTGGGCCCGATCCCAGCAGAGCCCAGCACTAATCAATGCCACTGCAGCACTCAGTCAGTCAATCAATCAATCAATCAAGCCTTTTATTTGTCACATGCAAAGTTTACACCTGTAGTGAAATAGGACCCCCCCTCCCGTCCATACATACATAGCACAGACATCACATGGGGATACAGGTCAGAGATCGGTAGCGTTACAGAAAAACACTGAAATGTACACTACAATGGGAAAGTACAAGAGGAAAAAAAGAGACCTCTACTCATGCCGGGCTGCTGGGAGGACAGCATGAGAACAGGAAACAGCAAAACTCCTCTGCACAGAAAGCACATAAATGTCCACAGCACAACATTATGGAGCACGTGACCAGCCACAGGGTCGGGTGGGGGGTGAGGAGTCATCCGAAGCAAACACAGCAGCCATCCTGCCCTGCGCTATTATTCCAGCGTGGGCTCAGACCCGCCGTGTTCCCAGGAGGCAACAAGCATCGAAGGCGTTTGGAAAGGGAGGGGGGATGAGTGTGTGCATATCAGTGTATATGTATGTGTGGGCGTGTCCAGAGTTCAGCTGAGACAGTGTCCTTCGCCCTGCCAGGCTCAGTAAACAGTCTTCCAGCCAACCCAGGTGGCCTTGCATGGAATGGGAAGAACAGACTAAACACAGTCGTTATCAGGGTGTTGTTGTTCGGCTCCAGCCTTGAGACCGCAGCTGGCGCCGAGAGGGTCTCCGCATGAAGTGATGGTGCTTTTTACTTTAGTGCGAACAGCTCATATGAATTTCAAAGCTGTTCTACAGTCCAACACTGGTCTCTCAATCTCCTGTTGGAGAGCTGCGAGCTTCGCCATACTTACGTTCTGTGATGTTGTCATTCTTGTGCTCAAAGAGCCGATTCTGAGAACTCACGACAGTGGGCCTCCTCGAGATGTCATCCAATTTGGGCTCAGAGATCTTATTCTGAGTATTCACAGCAGCCGTAAGCTTCTCCAAGATCTTATCCATGCTGCACTCAATGAGCCCATTTTGAGAAACTCACGCCTCTTCCATCGTTCAATCCCAGCGGGCAGCCTTGTGGGGGTTTGAACAGCCGGTTCCGCTTTCTTCCCTCTCCAGCACATTCTGAGCCCTTTTGAGGATATTTGTTACCATTGTTATGCGGACGATATCCAACTCTATATATCTTTTAAGCCGGAGGAGGTTTCTAAGCTGCGGCTTTTAAATGTGTGCTTGGAAACCATTAAAGGCTGGATGGCTGAAAACTTCCTCCAACTAAATGATAACAAAACCGAAGTCCTCTTATGTGCCCCAGATAGACATAGACCCAGTATAATAAGTGCTCTTGGTCCTCTTTCAGCGTTTGTAAAACCATCTGTCAGGAACTTAGGGATTATCCTTGATCCTGCTCTTACGTTAGATAGTCATGTTAAATCTCTTGTTCGGTCCTGCTTTTATCATTTAAGAAATATCTCTAAATTGAGCTCCATAATATCCTATACCGAACTGGAGATT